CAATATACATTTTTATTACACAAATGGTTAACACAAAGCTACGACATGAGCAACTCAAATGTTCTGAGCCATAAATAATGTTAAAATAACCTATTATTAAATGTAATTTTAATTGGACATATATGAATGATTGCTTTGTTTATCACTACTAATACTAAATTGCATTAAAATGAGTCTTACAGCACAATTATAGCTTAGTACATCTTCTTCCCTTAACCAGTTTATATAAAGTTTATAGAAATTTGTAATATTAAAACGTTGGTACCAAATACGAAACTTGACAAATACCTGGGGAATGTTCCTACAACATCAAGTGTGCTAAAATAAATCCTAGTGAAGATTCCTCACGAACAGAGTATTTGTTTGCCATCTAGGTTTATAGTAATTTTATTACATATTTTCTTCAAAACTGATTATTGTAGAGGATACAGGTTGGATAGGCCTGTATTACCAATAGAAGGAGAGAGATAGACACAAAACACCATATTGTAAAACTTTTAAGAACAAGTCCATTAAACTACAAAAATAGAAAAACCTTTTCCATAATTTAAAGGTCATAATGCTCCTCATGTCCCCATGACCTATTGTATGTATATGTATGTATGACTGCGTTAATACACGTAATCGTTGGGGGCATCCAGTTATGTATAATCTAGCAAACAATTCGAAACTGGAAAGTAATTATTACGATGTACTTTAGGACTCTTATCTTGTGTCGAGATATTTTTCAGGCACAACACTGAAGATTCCAAGTGGGTATTTACTCCTCCGTTATTTGAACTATATGACACTAAATCAGACGTGTCTGACTTCCAAAGCTAGTTGAAACACACGATTTTCTCATTTGGCAGTGTATAACAATGACCACATACCACCTGTTATGTGTAAAGCATTTATTCGAATATTTGAAGATTAGAATATATTTGTTATGGGTGGAACGCCCACCTGTGAATTCCCTTACATGTCACTGGTTTTATGTACCGTATGAACATGGCAGTGCGATGTGTATATAATTGCAAGGAGACTGATTGCCTTTAGTGTTGGTTGTCGACAATCACGATGTTTACAGCATAAAATATCATTTATATATTCCGTTATTTATATAAACTTGTATTTGCCATCAATAGCTGTTGTATGGGGATATCATGACCGTGGTTTGTTTGTTCAGCGAATGCACATATGGTATAACGACCATTACATGTGTATGTCATTTATTTCAAGTTGGAAGTAGATGTTCCTTTTTTGTGGTGAACGTGAGAGTGCAACTTATCCTTAACTTTTATGAAAGATACATTCTTCTCTAGGGTGTCAGACTCGGGAGCCAGGTTGTGAAGTGGTGTCTGGACGAATACTGTCAAACATGGTCTCAATATATGTTTTTCATGCTTTGTGCAATAACTCATTATTATTCAGACACTTATTCATTTTTTTTCTCCTCCAGAATTGTTACGTAACTAGACTCTCAATATCATGCTAATTACTATCCTTATTTTTTTCATTCAGTTATTCAACTACATGCTTCTGATGAAAGTACTTATAGTTAGGAAAGCTTTTACTATTTCCCGTATCATTCAAACCTGTGAAACATTTTT